CCTCTTTATGAAGTCCAGTCGTCATAGCGACCACTCGGACTCCTCGGGCGGTTCCAGCCCCACCCAGTCCCGGGGGGAGAGCCCCCCTAAGACGGTAAAATTTGTCGACGAAAACACAATAGAGAGACACCAGAGAAGGAAACAGATAGAGCAGGATAATATACTGGAGACTATAATATCAGAGGATGAGCTGGAGGTGGAGTCAAAAAGAGGAAACAATGACGGTATGATAATAATGATAATACTATACATGTACCTTTTTGGCGTCATTTTGAGCAACTTTAAAAATTTGTAAAAAATCCAATTTTGATCGGAATCAGCTCAAACTTGATATACAACATAAGAACATGTATATGTATCAGGAAAAATTATAAAAATGCAGAATTCTCACCAAGTCATTTTTGGCAAAATTTGGCCAACGACCCTGTACTATAGTACAGGGACTTTTGCCCGATTTTGGAGCAACTTTAAAAATTCATTTAAAAATTAATTTTAGTCAGAATCAACTCAAACTTGATATACAGCATAAGAACATGTATATGTATCAGGAAAAATTATAAAAATGCAGAATTCTCACCAAGTGATTTTTGGCGAAATTTGGCCAACAACCCTGTACTATAGTACAGGGACTTTTACCCAATTTTGGAGCATCTTTAAAAATTTGTAAAAAATTCGATTTTGATCGGAATCAGCTCAAACTTGATATACAACATAAGAACATGTATATATATCAGGAAAAAGTATAAAAATGCAGAATTCTCACTAAGCCATTTTGGCTAACTACCATGGTCTTTGGTCAAAATTTTGAATAGCTTTAAAGCAGGTTTTTAGCTGCAGTCCTCTCATATCATTTGCCAATACGTGTTATTTTAAATTGTTATTGGGTTTCCATAGATTCATCAAGTTTACCGACAGTCATATCTCCAACACTAGAAGAAGCACAGCAACTGTCAATGCTATGGACAGGTAGGAGATTATTACATTTAAAATAAGCATTTATTTATTTATGTATTTATTTATTTATGTATTTATGTATTTATTTATTCATTTATTTATTCATTTATTTATTTATGTATTTATTTATTTATGTATTTATGTATTTATTTATTCATTTATTTATTCATTTATTTATTTATGTATTTATTTATTTATGTATTTATGTATTTATTTATTCATTTATTTATTCATTTATTTATTTATGTATTTATTTATTTATTTATTCATTTATTTATTTATTCATCACTTGCAGGAGTGTGGAGCACATTAAAGCAAAGGAAGCAGGCACTTGAGTCGGTCCAAGACATTTGGTCTGGCTTTGAGTCAAAGAAGATTATGTGTGAGAAGTTCCTGGAGAGATCAGAAGTGATCCTAGTCGACATGTATGCTGGACTGAAGAAAGCATTAACAGTTGAAGCACTGCAGAAAGAAATGATAGAATTGAAGGTATTATTATATTAATGTTAAATTGCTGTAATGTATTTTATTATTTTAGAGTTTGTGTGAAGAGACTGCTTTGTATCAAAGCAAGATAGGGACTCTCAACGACTTAACGACTGATTTGATACAGAGACACAGATCAAGTGATAACGTTGAACCGCTTCAGGAATCAATGACCACGCTCAACGTGAAATGGAAGAAAGTTAACGAATGGTAAGTTAGCTTCCTATAACTGCTTCTTTTGACATTGCATTAAT